GGGAGCTGCCATCACATGGTGTTCTCTTGGGAGGAGGAATTATGGTAAGAGGATGGCACAGTGCCCCATTCTACCTGCTTTAATGATGTGGCTGCACCCTTGCCTGTGGAGCAGGAGCTTCTTGTCCAGTTCCTCAATGGCTCACACTGGGAATTAGTTTATGAATTGAGAAATAAATCTCTACAGACTCCCACTCTACTATCTTGGTAGCATTACTTCCTAGTTTCTTTTGTGGGGAACATTTAATTGATATTCCTTTGGATTTTAAATCCAATTACATGAAACATTGCTTAACTTTTTACTAGTACAGGGCAAGCCTGCATTTCCCTGGTATTTGAAATACTTTGGCAGGGTTAAATGTTTTAGTGCTAAGAAAAAGTAAAAGGGAAAATATATATTTTTCTCTAGTTTTAATGTTTAAATAGTAGTAGTAAAAGGCATGTCAGAAAAGGTTACAAAAATACTGTAGTTAGAGTTCCTCTGTGTCTTGGCAGTGCTCCCAAATAACCACACAGATACTTATTATAAATTATAAATGCTCAGCTGATAGCTCAGGCTTATTAGTAATTAGCTCTTACAACTTAAAATAACCCATTTCTATTAAGCTACATTCTTCCACATGACATTACCTCTCTTTCATTTTGCACATCCTGTTTCCTCTCCCTGTCTCACTGGAGACTCCCTTGATTCCACCCTTCTTCTTCTCAGCATTCTCTCTACCATGAAAATCTTGCCTAGCCGTCAGTCAATCAGCTTTTTATAAACAATGAGAGCAACACATTTTCACAGTATATAGAAGGATTATTCCACAGCAAGATACTAATTTTTTTTCTTTCTGTTAACTTTGGCATCCTGGAAGTAATCCACCCCTCTACTAATTGGGCATATGTACAACTGTACATGAGTTTGCTATGACCATGTCCTATGTACCAGTTGGAGATTATGCAAACACCAGGACTAGGTATTCTGTGTGGCAGCAGCACAGAGAGAACTGTAGGGATGGTTTACCTCCTACTCATTGTCACACATTTTTACTAACCTCTAGTTCCATCACTGAAAATTTGAGGCTGTTGTTGTACATACCTACGAGTTCAAGTTAGTTGTATGTCCAGTTGAAGACCGCTTCATGGCATGGAATGAAACTTCTGTGCCTAGTATCCGTTTCTTGTGCCAGCCAGATTCTAGCAATGGTATTGACCTCTTCCCTTAGTCGGCTTAATTGCCTTCACAAAAAGCTGGCTTCTGCTTGTCTCTGCTTTTCTTGGCCTTCATTGGCCTTTTAAGGAACTCCTTATTGAGTTTAGTTTTGGATACATTAAATTAGAGGCAGTGGTGTTCAGTTTGTATTTATGATGGAGTTGAAGGCTACGAGTTGTCGTTGTTGGTTTCTTGTCCCACCTTCCAGTTCCCAAATAACCACTCTAAGGCTTAATATTAATTATAATTTTTTGGCCAATGGCTCAGTCATATTGCTCTTAAAACTCAAATTAACCCATTTTTTTATTAATCTATGTATTGCCACATGGGTCATGGCTTTTTACCGTTCTGCAGACATGTTGTTTCTTGGGCAGCTGGATGGCATGTCCTGACTCCAATGTCTTTCTCCTGGTGACTCTGTTTAGATGTCCTGCCTGGCTCTGTTCTACCTGGCCATTAGTCAAAACAGCTTTATTCATCAACCAATAAAAGAAACATTTGCAGCATACAGAAGGACATCCCACATAAAATAGTAATTTAAACCAGGGTTGCCGATTTAGTGAGCAAAGCTTTCCCTTGCTTTTTGAAATACCAATAGTATATTGGTTGGGTTAACCAGGAAAAGCAGATAAAATTAAAATAATTGAGGTTAAATGAAGAAGCCTAGGATTATAGCTTGTATATGGTGGGGAGAAGAAGGAGGAGGAGGAGGAGGAGGAGGAGGAGGAG